TCTCTCTCTCTCTCTCTCTCTCTCTCTCTCTCTCTCCTCTCTCACTCTCTCTTTAAAAAAAAAAAAACAAACTTGCATTTTTGTCTTTTTTTTTAAACTGGAGATTGAACCCAATAGGGCTCTATCAATGAGCTACATCCCCAGTCTTTTTTTTTAAATTTATTTTATTTTAAGACAGGGTTTTGCTAGGTTATCGAGGGCCTCTTTACATGGCCAAGACTGACTTTAAATTGTGATCCTTCTTGTCTCAGCCTCCCAAGTTATTGGAATTATAAGTGTGCACCACTGCGCTAGGCTGGCTCCATGACTTTTTTTTTTTTTTTCACTACTGGGGATTAACTACGGTGCTCTACCACTGAGCTGTTCCCCCAGCCCTTTAAATGTTTTATTTAACTTGCCAAGACTGTCTTGAACTTGGGTTCATCCTGCCTCAACCTCCCGAATTGCTAAGATTACAGGTGTGCTCCACCATGTCCAGCTATCTCTCTTTTTAAAAAAATCCACATGAATAATAATAATTACAAGGACAGGGACAGTGAACAGTCTATTAGTGTGAGCAAGATGTCCGAGGGACCAGTTGCTTTTAGGACTGTGTATTACTTTGTACATCAACTAACAATAAATGAATTCTTTTTTTAAGTGTGTGTGTTTGTTTGTTTTATGTGTATTTAAATTGACACATAGTAATTGTACATTTTCATATGGTGCAGTGTGATACTGGATACATGTATATAATGTATCACTGTATTAGCATATCCATTGCCTCAAACATTTATAGTAATTTATTGTATATTTTAAAATTGCTAAGATAGGATTTTGAATATTTTTGAATATTTCTGACATAAAGAAATGAAGGAAGTTTTTCTAGAAGGCGCTGCAGGGCTTTGATTGGGAGAACTTGTTATACTTACGGAATCCCTGCTCTGCTCTCAGCAATTGGGAAATGCTTATTTTTCATGTTTTGTGAGTTATCCTGTGTTCCTGTAAGTTAATTTTATAGTTGTGGGAAATTGGCAAAAGTAGGTCTATGACTGGAAATCAGAGGACAACAAATTTTTAAAGGACTTGAATTGGGATTTGGGACTGTGATAAGGAAATCTTCAGGCACTAGCCTGTGCTAAAGCATTCTGTTGTCAACAGAACTGGATCCTAAAGCCCTTGCAGGGAGCTTGGCCTGGGACTGGAACAATTGATGCAATACCCTATTGTATGGAGATGGGATCAACTGAGCTGTGTCCTTTGGTTTTGTTTTAAGGCAACTTATGTGAGAGTTTCAGTTGTACCAGTCTTGAGAACTGAATACTCTTTTCTTTAGCGTTGCCAGCACCCTGCCTCCCCCCCTTCAGCACAAATAAGATTTTCAAGTGAGCCAGATGCAAGAAGGGCCATTTTAAGTCTTCATAGCTAGAGACCAAGAAAGATAATGAGCTGATGGTTTATTTTAATCTCAAAAGTATATTTTAGTATATTTTCTCTGCAGATAATGAACAGTAAAATGAGTAACAGCAAAGTATATATCTGATGCCTTCTGTGTTTTCATGATAATGTGCTAACAAGATGTGTTCATATTTGATTCAGCTAGTCTCATTCATTTACTAAGCTTTGGGCAAAATATGTGCATTGATTTGTGTTTGGGTGTGTGGTGCTGAGGATAGAGCCCAGGGCCTCCTTCATGCTAGGCAAATGCTCTACCACTGAGCTACATCCCCAGCCCTATATATTGATCTTAATCATAAATACAACCCTGAGGGTATCCAGTGGTTGTATTGTGTCTTGTAGACCTAAACTAACCTTGCCATCTCTTTTTCAAACTTGTTGAAATGTCTTTGAAGAGCATCATTAAAGTCTCCAACTTTGGGAAATATATATGACATGAAACTTGGGTCCTATATTAAAAGTAAGTATATAACCAAAAAAGGGGGGGGGATAGGCAGTCAGTTAAAATATTTTAGAAGTACAGTTGTAACAGGAAAAAGGTGGTTAGCTCATTCCACACAATCACCTTATTCAGGCTTTGGGAGATGCTAATGATTTGTTATTTCTCCAACTCTAACTTTTCTGTTTCTCTTCTAACTGCTCACCACATTTTCTTAGTGTAACTTGCTAATATTACTCTTTAAAACACATTTATTTATTTTTTAGTTGTAATTGCGCACATACCTTTATTTATATGTGGTGTGAGGATCGAACCCAGGGCCTCACACATGCTAGGTGAGTGCTCTACCACTGAGCCACAACTCCAACCCCCTAATATTTCTTATAATCTATTTTACAGCATTTATACTAATGCTGTTTGATTCCTACTCTCCTAATTTTTCTTTTATTCAGCACTCTTATGGAATTGCATAAATTACAAAAGTGGTACATATCTGTTGTACCAAGATAGTACAGAAGTGTACTAAGGAAAGTGACATCTATGCTCTGAGATAGCCACTGGTGATATGTATATGCATACTCTGTGACTTTGTGCTCAAATGATTTTGAATTTATTTGAGGTTGTTTTCTTCTTCCTTCACTTCTTCTCCTTCTGTCATTCCTCCCTCCTCCACCTTTTTTCTTTCCTCCCTCTCTCCCATTCGTCTTTCCTTCCTTCAAAATAAAAATGAAATTATTTCTCCAGAAGGATACAACAACAACAACAACAACAACAACAACAAAAACCAAATCCCCAAACCTGATAATCAGGTTATCTTTGGGGAAGGAAACCAGAATATATGGGAATAGAGGTGGAAGAGGGATTGTGTTTTGACTTCACTTTCCCCTCTCTTTTCTTTTCACCATGGACATGTATTATCAATTTCTCTGAAGCATTCCCATCAGATAGTTTTCTGTGGTACTGTTTAATCTTTTTTTTTTTTTTTTTTTTTTTAAAGAAAGAGTGAGAGAGAGTGAGAAAGAGGGAGAGAGAGAGAGAACTTTAATATTTATTTTTTAGTTTTCGGCGGACACAACATCTTTGTTGGTATGTGGTGCTGAGGATCGAACCCGGGCCGCACGCATGCCAGGCGAGCGCGCTACCGCTTGAGCCACATCCCCAGCCCCTGTTTAGTCTTTGATGAGGTGTTTTTATTTTTATTTTTAAAAGCAAACAACTCTTGATTCTGAATGGAAGAAAACACAATCTTCCTTCTATTTACATGGTGCTTGCATTAGAAAATACCATGTACAAAAACACTGTGCAAAACATGTTTTGTTTTTAAGGGTAAAGCGGAATTAAATTCTCAATCCTGATAAACAGGTTTTCTATCTACATGGTCTGGTGGGATCTTTGAAAGCCATGCAGGATTATCTTGTGCATTACAGATGTGCAGCATCCTGGCATTTGGTGGGGTGGTGCTTGCCTGTAATCCCAGACTTGAGAGACTGTGACAAGAGGCTGAGACAAGTTTAAGGCCAGCATCAGCAATTTAACCAGATCCTGTCTCAAAATTAAAAAAAAAAAATGGCTGAGGATGTGGCTCAGTGGTAAAGCACCCCTGGGTCCAATCCCCAGTACAAAAAAAAAAAAAAAAAAAAAAAAAGCTAGTAAAATACCCTGATCATTGTCCCCTCCCCATTTGCAAATGCTTCCTAGAAGGGGATGTCTTTCATGTTGAGAACTGCTCTCTACCTGCTGTCCCTGCTTGGAAAGTTCTGCCCCCTGTTGTTTTCAGAGTTGGTTCTTTCTTGTCATTCAGGGCTGAGCTTAATTGTTACCTTCTCTGAGATGGCTTGCCTGACCACCCAACCTACATATCCCCCACTTACTTTTACAACATTGCTCCATTCAATTCTCTGGATAGCATT